TACAAACTAGTATACGTACCCGCGCGTTGCGCGGCTATATATGAAATTATGATTAATTTAATTTCATGAAACATCAAATAGTTGAAATATTTTTACATATTTGTCCTTTATTATTTTTATGTTGTATTGATATATTCATATATTTTTCGTATTAACAATTTATTAGTTAAAAATATTTCACATGAAATGTAAAATATCATAAGATTAAATGACATGTTAGTATATTTTGCATATATTTTTTTTCAAATCCAAAAGATTCAAAATATTCTTTACATTCTTAAATTTGTGTCAAACGATAATAGAAAAATAATTTAAAATAAAGTCAATATAAAATAATGTCATAATAATAGAAACATGTACATGATATATACATTTTTTATTAATCATTGAAAATAATTAATTACAAATAGTGAATAAGTTACTTTTAAACTTTCGAAAAATAAAATAATAATTTATTTATTTTTATCAATGATTAGATGTCAAGGAACTTGTAAATTTTTCTAGTATTCTATTGTAGTAGTTACTGCGTAAATTTCTTTTATGACTATTATAAAATTTATCATAGTTTTTAGTACTTATTATTTTAATACAATGTGTAATTTTTATTTATTATTTTCTTCAAATTGTTATTTTTGTTTAATCATAAAAAATAATAATTACAACAATTTCTGTTTTTATTAACTTAAATATATTTTAATACAACGTGTAATATTTACTTACTATTTTCTTCCCCATTTTATTTTCTTTAATCATATATCAATAATACATACAACAATTTAATTTTATTAACATAAATACTTTTAGTATTAATTCTTCTAATGTTCTATTAATAATAATGATTTAAATTATTTATGATCACTATTAAAGCTTCTATATAATTGAGATAAAAATTGAGGTACGTACAAATAAAAATATTTTTGAACAAACAAAATAATTTCAAAATTTGAACTTTTAATTTGTTAGTCTCAATAATTTAAAAAATTACAAATAATTTTATAATTTTAAAATAACTAACATATCATTTTAAAATAATTTTATAATTCCTAATTAACTATTTAAAAGTTTATATAAATTCTATATTTTTTTTAAATGTTTGAATTCCACGTTATAAAAAAAATAATCTTAATTTTGAGTTCGCTTTGATCTAATATTTTGAAACATGTTACTATTTGTCTCGATCTCATATACAATAGTACATATTCTCTTATTAATTAAATGGAAATTTCTAATTAATTAAATGACCTATTATTTATTTCAGTATTGACAAAATAATTTTAAATTATCTGATACCTTGTAATATAAGCAGTCTTTTTTGTACATTTAATTTTTAGAATAGTTGTATATTCTATAGGTTTGAAGGTTCTAAATTTCAAAGACAAACCATTTATTTTAAGTATAATAACAATTTGAAATAAATTTAACTGAACAAATGAACAAATTTTTGTTCATACTTTAATATTTTATCACTCACAAGTATATTACTAAAAAGATATAAGAAAGTGGAATAATATGCATAAATCATGATAGTCTACATTTATCGATACATCATATTAATATTTCCATAGTATACAAAGATATTCAATTGCACATATTTAGCATTTTAAAAATGTGAATATATTACCAATAATCCAACAATCAAAAACATATAAAACTCATTTGATTTAAAGAATTTAAGTACATAATATCACAAAAACAAATCAAATTGAATGAAATAAACTAAAATGTCACAATAAGACATTATACTTATCAATATCAGTTTGATAAATATTAATCTTCTTTTTCTTGGACTTTCACTTTTTTATTTGCAAATATATTCAAATTTCTTTGGCTAGCCATCAAATAATCGACCTATTCACCCCATAAAAAAATGAAGATAAGAAGAATGAAACTAATTTAACAAACAACATTACACATTTGAAGAAGAATAGATTCATGGTTCAATCATTTGATTTAAAGAATTTATGTACAAAATATGACAAAAATAAATCAAATTGAATGAAATAAACGGAAAAAAAAAACACAATAAGACATTCTAGATCTAACAATATCATCATTTGCAGAGGATTTTCACTTTGATAAATATTGTTCTTATTTTCTTGAACCTCTACTATGTTATTCGCAAATATAATCAAATTTTATTCGGCCAGCCATTAAATAATTTACCTATTCACTAAATAAAAAGAATAGAAATAATTTAACAGATAACATTACACATTTGAAGAAGAATACATCCATAATTCAATAATAAACACATGTTAATATAAATGACGGAATAACAAATTAACAGAAAATAATAAAATTAAAAAGTATTCGATTAGCTGCTCTAAAATTAAATTAAAAAATAACATACAATTACAAATAAAATTAATCAAATTTTAATTCATACTCTAATATTTTATCACCCACAAATCTATTATTAAAATAAAAATATATAAGAAAGTGAGGTAGCATGCATAACTATGATAATAAATTATATTACACATTTATCAATATTATTATATTAATGATTCCATAACAACGATTTTTAATTGCATATATTTAACATTTTAATAAATGTGAAGATATGACCAATAATTCAATAATATGAAAGCATGTTAGTATAAATGATTGAATAGAAAAAACTAACAGAAAATGATAACATAAAAAGTATTAGAATAACTTCACTTAGATTAAATAAAAAGTAACACAATCGAAAAAAAATATTAATCACAATAAAAATCATCAAAGATTACAAATGTAAATAAAAGAAGAACATAAAAAACTCATTCGATCTAAAGAATTTAAGTACAATATATGACAAACAAATCAAATTGAATGAAATAAACTAAATAAAATTCACAAAAAGACATTATAGATCTAACAATATCATCATTTGCAGAAGATTTCAACTTGCATGAATATTCTTCTTCTTCTTCTTGGACTTTCACTTTGTTATTTGCAAGTATATTCAAAATCTTTTTTCCGGGTAGCCGTCAAATAATCTACCTATTCGCTCCATAAAAAGATGAAGATAAGAATAATGGAAATAATTCAACAAATAATACTACACATTTGAAGAAGAATAGATCAATTAATTTTGTTAATGACTTTATTTTTTATGTATATATAGGGAATAGAGATAATGGGTAGAGTAGTTTTAGGTAACCACTTTAAATTCAAATTCAAAAAGTAACTACTTTGCCATTTAAAAAAAAATAGTTATGTGAGTTGGTTAATTATTTTGAAAAAAACACATTTAAAATATATTTTTTATTTTTTAAAAACTAAAGTATATCTTCATTTAACAGTTTTTTTTAATGTGCGGGTAGTTTTGCTATTTATTTATTTATTTAAAACGATTGATGCACGTTTTTATTTTATTTTTTCTTTTCTACTTTTTTAAGTTATAATATTATTTTAAAAAAAAAAGAAATAATATTCTTTAAGAGATCTATCAAAATGGCAGTGTTTTTTTTTCCTATTTCAATTCACGTAAGTTTTACACTGCTATTAATTTAAATAAGTTTTGTAATGTTAAATAAGTTTTAAAATGTTAATTTAAGAAATACTTTAAGTTTATATTTTGTTTTTTTATTTTTCAATTGTTATTTATTATTTAAAATATATTTTAAAAAGCTGTCATGAAAACTGATTAGCAATTTAAATACATTGTTATAAACATTATTATAATATTATATTATTATTACTTTTATTAGTACGATAATTATTTATTATTATTGTTACTATTATTTAAAAATTCACCTTTTAAAAATAGTTGGTTAGTCTTTTTTTATTTCTTTTGGTTTAATTTAAGATACATATTTAAAAGATTTTTAAATTAATTTTTTAAATTTTAAAATTGTGAAATTTTTGTGGTGCTGACATGTGGCGTTTTTTGCTTCTCCTATTATATATAGATAGATAATTATTTATTATTATTGTTACTATTATTTAAAAATTCACCTTTTAAAAATAGTTGGTTAGTCTTTTTTTATTTCTTTTGGTTTAATTTAAGATACATATTTAAAAGATTTTTAAATTAATTTTTTAAATTTTAAAATTGTGAAATTTTTGTGGTGCTGACATGTGGCGTTTTTTGCTTCTCCTATTATATATAGATAGATGTTTAAATGGAAAACTGAATGAGCCGACATAGTAAAGTGAGCCCATGAGTTGGGCCCACATAATTCAAGAGAAAGAATAATCTCTTGATATGACATATAAGTCCTTGTGTAAATATTGATTGGTTTTTTTGGTTTAATAAGGAAAAAGTAGAAAGTTTCAAAAATGCCCTTGTCATACAAGCAGACATGTTGACGAAGACATGCTAGACTCTTATATATATAGTAGTAAAGTAATGTGCATAATACTCTCCCTAAAAGAATAAAAAAATCATGTCACAATGTTTTAATAATAAACCAATATTTAATCTTGTATGCCCACTTTGTCTAATTTTAAGCTGGATGTCTAAACAGTAGGAAATTATTGTCCCATCTATTATGTTTCATATGAAACTTCTCCATTTGAATTAGTTATAAAATTTTAACCCCCCCCCCCCTCCTCCCTCCCTCCGCCCCTTCTTTTTTTTACTATCAAGTGGTTGAACGTCTCTTTCCTCCTATCTTAATCTGAAAATTATTTACTATTAAATTACTCATTTTATTTTTAATTGCATATACTTATAACATGATATATCATGTTTAAGATCACAGGTTTAAAAGTTGTTTTGATATGACAAATAGGGAGATTTGACTTTTTTTATCGAGGTCAAGACATCGTCGGTTACTATTCATGAAACAGTCACTTATTATAATACGATTCACTTTTTTATATGTGAAGGTCTTTTTTTCTTTCTTAAAATTTTATATTCAGCCAAACACATGTAAGAATGATTTTAAAACAAAAAAAAAAAACAATCACAAGTCATCAAGAGTATTTTAAAAATATTTAATTTCTAGATATTGATGTATAGTTTATTAGGTCATAATGGTATATTTTGGAACTTAAAAAAATTAGACATGTTATATACAAAATTTAAGCTCTGGCATATCCTATAAATAGTGGAGCTTTAGGAATCATTTAGAACACACAATTACATACAAATATGGAAGTGATGAATAAGAAGAAAGTTAACTCCTCTAGAAAGATGAAGGGTGGAATGATCACTATGCCCTTCATATTTGGTTAGTTCACTCTTCTCTTTTCTTTTTCTTTTTTTTTTGAATCTTGAAATTACAAACAATTTGTATAGCTATAGTTTCTTAGGCAATCTGGTGTACAAAGTATTTTGTGTTAGCAGAGTACTAAAAAATCAGGAAAGGCTCACACCTCAAGAGGTTTGATGTAGACAATATAATCCTAATGCAAGTATTACTGACTTTTTTCACGACTCAAACATGTGGTTCTTTCTTATTTTCAACTTTTCACTCAAATTTTTTGTGAATCTTGAAATTACACGCATTTTGTATAGTTTCTTGAATAATAAAGGGCAATCCGATGTACAACGCATTATGAGTCCAGTGAAGGGCTACACCGTACCCCATGGAAATGGACTTGTAATATATAAATCATACAGAGATAACTTTATCATTGCTCCAACACTCTTCTTTGTGTATATAGTTTCTTGAATACTAAGTGAAATTGAACTTAATGTTCTTTTCTTGTGTGTAGCAAATGAGATATGTGAGAAATTGGCAGTGGTGGGGTTTGGTACAAATATGGTCATTTACTTGACAAATGAGCTCCATCTTCCATTAACAAAAGCAGCAAACACACTTACAAATTTTGGTGGCACTGCAAGTTTGACACCATTGATTGGAGCTTTTATTGCTGATACTTTTGCTGGAAGATTTTGGACTATAACTGTTGCTTCTATCATCTACCAAATTGTAAGTCTCTCTCTCATTTTCTTTTCCAGAGTTTAACTTCTATCACTGACAGTAAAGGCAGATCAAAAGGAGAGTATCAATTACGAGTTCGAACGAATTTACAAACTTTTGTTTAGACTATGTAGTTGTATTATGAAATTTACTTTAAATACATATAAATATTTAACTGTGAACTGACGTCTATGAATTTGGTGATAAATTCAGAATTCATAAACTCTAAATTCTGACCCTGCTATAACAGATTTAAATATTTACCCGCTATAACAGATTAAAATATTTACCTGCTATAACAGATTAAAATATTCTTAGTAATTTTTGCTTATATTATTAATTATGTGAGCAAGTTGACTTCTTTTAATTTTTTGAGGTTAGATGTTAAAGTAAATATGACATATAGTTTGATGTTTCATAGTATGCATAATTTAGTTGTATCAAGTAACACTCAAATTATTAGTGTGAGGGGTTGTAATATTTTTGACTACTTTCTTGAAACACTTATTAAATGGCTTATTTATCTTCTTTGATAAGCTTTGTAATGGATAAGATATATATGGTGAATGACTTAATTTGGATAGTCAAAAACCTTGGAAGTTTGGTTTCATATTGAATTTACAGTAAATATATTATTACTGTGATCAGTTCACTTCTCTTCTTGTCTTTTCAAACTCGAACTAAATATAAATAAATTTATTTATTTTAACGTATATCATAGCAGGTAATCAACTTTATTTTGATTTCCAATCGATACTTTAAATGGAAAGCTACATATAATTATCATCTGAGTGATTTGATAGTATAACAAACTATTTTACAGTTTATCATCAGTATACAAAAGTTAAACTCTTTCATATTATCATATAACATGTACAATGAACTTTCCTAGTTCAAAATTCAGGGGTGAAGCTAGAGTGTAATATGTTAATTTGGTAAAATTAAACTTACTAGTAGTGTTGGTTCAAAATTTGCATGTCTTAAAATAGTTATTTAACATATACAAATTGTTAACTTTAGAACTCAGTAACTCAAAAGGACTAAAATCTCAAACCCCCTTTTGATTTTAATTTCAGGGCATGATCATTTTAACATTATCAGCAATACTTCCACAACTAAGGCCACCATCATGCAAAGATGATGAATATTGCAAAGAAGCAAATTCAAGTCAATTAGCCATCTTATATGTGTCATTACTCTTAACAGCCTTTGGGTCAGGTGGAATTAGGCCATGTGTTGTTGCATTTGGGGCAGACCAATTTGATGAAAATGATCCAAATCAAAAAACACAAACATGGAAATTCTTTAATTGGTACTATTTTTCTATGGGATTTTCAATGCTTGTGGCTGTCACAGTAATTGTTTATATTCAAGATAATATTGGATGGGGTATTGGATTTGGTGTCCCAACAATTGCTATGCTTATATCAATTGTTGTTTTTATATTTGGATACCCTTTGTATAGAAATTTGGATCCTGCTGGTAGCCCTTTTACTAGGCTAGTGCAAGTTTGTGTTGCTGCCTACAAGAAGAGAAAATTGGATATGGTAAATGATACTAATTTGCTTTATCAAAATCAAGAACTTGATGCTGATATTTCTACTGCTGGCAATCTTGTCCATACTAAGCAAATGAAGTAAGTCATTTTCTTCTCCGAGTTTAAGTTTTGTGCACTGATTGACTGTGTATATTTTTTAGATTGTTAGTTACAATTAACATGCAATATATATTGCTCAGACTCTTTTAAAATATTGTAAAATGCGTGTTGGATCCTCTGAATATATTTTGGAGGATCTGACATGAGTGTGTCAGCCTTTTTGAAGAGTACAAGAACCATAGCTTACAACAATAGGTAACTCTTCATATGGTCACTAATTTTTATGGTGATAAAAATTGGTAAAAATGGTATTTTGTTAGTGTATATGACCTTTTCTTTAAAGTTAACTTATATACATTGATAGTGTACACCTAAAATATAACAATATGCAACTTCTTATAATAATTGAAAGTAATTACCTGTAAAATGAAACAGACAACCTATTATAACATGTATAGTATAAACAACTTTTATAAATCCATCACATGTTAGTTTTGCACCTTCAATAATGGAGAGGAATCTTGTGTGAATAATTGATATAATTACACATAAGATAACAGTAAAAAATGAAGAGGTGAAGATACTAGAATATTCTGTATGCTAACTTTGATTAAAACTAGAAATTTCTTTCTTAAGGAGATAACTCTTTTCTCTCTTTTATGATAAATCAAATGTCTTGCTATTAAATTTAATCAATCATCAATCAATTTGTACATGTATGTCTATTAATTGTGTGGCCAAAAACATTATGTGAATAAATGTTGTCTGTCCTGTTATTTGTCTTTATTTTCATGTCTTTGTACACCCCATCAAAATCAAGATTCATTGAATTTTATTCACATTTCCCATTTAATTTATTTTTTATTATTTTCACGGCTTCAATAATGTTGCAAGAATCAGTACTGAAGTCATTAAAAATCAAAAAACAAGTTGATTAATACTGCCAAAAGTTGTGTCTTTTGGAAGTGTACTATCAAATTGGAGTTAATTTGTAAGAAAATGTAAAAGATCTAGTCAAATTTGGATGACTGCTTGGACTCTTCAAAAATGTCAACAAATACATGTTCAATCCTCCAAAAAGTAGTATATTTTTTGAGGATCCTACATGACTGCGATAATGTTTTTAGAAAATTCAAGCAACATAGGTCCTAACTCCTAATGTTAGACTTAACATGTTTCATTATGATGTAGACCTAATCATTAAAGGCAACATGCTAATGTCTTTGAAAAAACTTCAAACAACTATCATACTCACATTTAACGAGTACTGTATTATGTGACCATTTCATTTAAAAGTTTAACGTTTTTTTTTTTAGATTCTTGGACAAAGCAGCAATAGTAACAGAGGAGGACAACCCGAAATCTCCCAATCTATGGAGGCTAAACACGGTCCATCGCGTAGAAGAGCTCAAATCGATCATAAGAATGGGTCCAATATGGGCATCAGGGATCATCCTGATCACAGCATACGCACAACAACACACATTCTCAGTCCAACAAGCCAAAACAATGGACAGACACTTGATAAATTCCTTTGAAATTCCAGCTGCCTCGATGACTGTCTTCACATTAACAACAATGTTATGCACCGTTGCCTTCTATGACCGCGTATTTGTCCCTATTGCACGTAAGTTCACTGGACTCGAACGAGGAATCTCTTTCCTAAGCAGAATGGGAATTGGATTCTTCATATCTGTCCTAGCCACTTTAGTAGCTGGATTTATTGAAGTTAAACGAAAAAATGTTGCATCAAGTTATGGACTAGTCGATAAACCAAAATCAATAGTTCCAATTTCAGTATTTTGGCTTGTGCCACAATATTGTCTACATGGTATAGCTGAGGCATTTATGTCAATTGGACATCTTGAATTTTTCTATGATCAAGCTCCAGAGAGTATGAAAAGTACAGCCACCGCGTTGTTTTGGACATCGATTTCAGCTGGGAATTATTTGAGTACATTTCTGGTAACGTTAGTTCATAAATTTACTTCAGGACCGAGAAGAACCAATTGGCTGCCTGATAATAACTTGAATAAGGGGAGATTAGAGTATTTTTACTGGTTAATTACGATTCTACAAGTGGTTAATTTGATTTACTATTTGTTTTGTGCAAGATTATATACTTTTAAGCCTATTCAGATGGACAAAACAGAGGATTTGGAGACTAAAAAAGATGGGATTGAACTTGTAAACAATGTTTAGTTTGTATTTTGTAACTTTAGTTTATAGTATTATTATGTAATAGTTTTTAGGTTATGAGGAAAGAAAAGAATGGTTATGAATAGTTGAATGTAATAATTATTAATAGATGGAATAATAAGACTTTGACTACTTCTCTTAAGTTATATGTGCATGAACTTCACACGTAAATGACTGAACTTTATCACTCATATATGCATGAACTTCAAGCAAAAACGATTGCTATGGCTGAACTTCAGTCATATCACATGTGCTCTAATTTTAGATACTGTATGTCTGATGTTATTTTAAAGTCAATAAATTTTTAAAATTTTGTGCATTATCAATATGATTTAAATGGTGATCCAAAATCGGGTATATGTACATTTCGGCCAACCCATTTACGAATTGGGTCTAGCCCATGAGAAAAAGAATTTGGGTTAGCCCATTTTGAAGATTGTGGGCCTTAACCAACCTAATATTAGCTTTCATGGATTACTACTATTTTTCTCCGTCATTTCTATCAAAATTGAATATTATATTTAAAATATATTTATGTGAAAATAACGATTTTAAAATATCGTTTTCAAAAATCTATTTCTTATTTAATATTTATACTCCTTTTTTGTTTTTTTTCAAGATCTTATTTTTATCATTTGTTTTCACTCCTTTCCATTTTGGTACATACAATATACTCCCTTCGTCTTATTTTATATGTCACCCCTTTCTATAAATAGTTGGTTCATAATACTTGTCATTTCATAAAATCAATGCATAAATTACCATATTCTTCTTTTTTTACCCTTGTGAGTTATTAGCCTTGAAAATATACATTTGACCAACTTAGAAAAATTAAGTAAATGATTCATGTTCATTGGTTAAATTAACTAATCAAAATAAATTAATTCATATTCATTGATTGAAAACTTGAGTTCCAAGAAAATTAAATAAGGGTAGAAGGGTAAAATTATATCATTTCTTAATGCAAGTGCAAAGTAAAAAAGTGACATATAAAATGGGACGGAGGGAGTATCAAACTCTCATGATAAAGTACTTGTCTCATTCTCTTCGAGTATCAAGGAGGGATGTTCTTAAATTTCCTCCCTGTAACTACTAGTCAATAGGGGTATTGATGACATTATTGGCACTCTTTCTCTCAGTCCATTTTTACTTTCTCTGGTATTAACTTGCACACCTCTTAAAAAGTAATAAATAGAATGACAATTCTATTATATCGTTTTTTGAATATAATAATAATATTTTAAAAAATATATTAATGACTAGAGTTAATAATCAAAATAAATTATGAATTAATAAAAAATATTTTTATTATAATTTTACGAATAAATGTGGACGGTGGTAGTAATTTATTTTTTTAACCACAAATTTACATAAATATCAAGTCTAACTTTGAATTCATTGATTTTTGGACTTTTATTAGTAATGAATTCGACAACCACCAAATTTTGACTTTAAGCTCATTGTGTAACGTATTTTAGGAGGAATTGCATTTCAACCATATAGAGTGGAACCAATTTAATCATCCAATTGGGGAACATACAACAACTTCACTTTAGAAAAAACATGAACTATCAACCAGAATAATAATAATATATCTAATATAATTTTACGAATGAGGTATGGAAAAATTGAGGTATAAGGAAATTTTATTTCTATTTTGTATAAGGTAAAAAGGTTGTTTTCGATAGATCATCTGCTTTGTTAGTGTTTTCAAAATAGGTTTGAGAAAAATATGAGAGAAAAAAAAACAAAAGTCTATGATGAAAATACTAAAAAATATAAGGTGTTCTAAACTAGAAACATGTTCTCCCATGTAAAAAGAGAAATTGTTTGGTTATCTACTCATGTTCTATCTTAATTTTCTACCTTTGCGCCCTCTTATCTAGGATCATATCTTCGATGAGCTAACATGTGTCATGTCCTGTCTAATCACACCTCTTCAATCTTTCTCGGTCTACCTCTATCATTCATAGACCTAACATTGCAACCACTCGCACTTCCTCATTATGCAGCATCTATGTTCGAATCATCTCAGTCTTACTTCACGCATCTTATACAATAAAGAGGTCACTTTTATTGTACCTCATATATCTTCACTTTTAATCATAGCTCTCATAATATATCCACACATCCATTTAAGTATCTTCATTTTCGCTACTTTCATCTTTTAAACATTTGAACTTTTGACTAGCCAGAAATTAAAGTTGAAGTATCAAGGGCCAAATTCAAAATGATTTTGAATTATATATATCGTAGTGTAAAAAAAATATTATTTGTTATCAAGCTTAACATGTAATTGTAAGTCAGTTATCATTTTCTTTTACAAAGTTAGAAGATAATACTTACCATAGAAACTTAATTAACTTTACTTATAAGTAATTTGAGTCTGTTATAATAATTTTTTCAACCACAATACATGGAGCTTAAATAGGGTTAAGCCCCTTCTAAATGACTATTATATCATGTTTTGGACTAGTAATACAGTAATTATTCATAGATGTAACAATAATAACAACGATAACATTTTTAGTGTAGTTTTAAAGTATAATTTGGAGAGATGATGCTTCTGATAACATTTTTAGTATAGTTTTACAAGTATAATTTGGAGAGATGATGCTTCTGATACGTTTGTTTAAGAAAAACGATTTGAAAATAGATTACTCCCTCTGTCTCAATTTATGTGACACGTTTCATTTTTCGAGAGTCAAATAGTTTAATTTTGATATAAAAAAATTGTTCATAGAATTTTTAAATTTTTTAAAATAAAATTTATATATTTGTAAATTACGTAATCACAATAATTGACAATTCAAGATATTTAAAAGATATATGAAAAATTACGGTAAAAAATAGACTTGTTTGAATCTCGAAATGTGAAATGTGTCACATAAATTGAAATAGAGAAAAAATAAATTAGCTTAATATATGTGTAATTAATAATTTGATACGATACATCATTAGTCATAATTAGTAATTACAACCCATCCGAGCCAATTAAAATGGGAGAAAAAACATATTAAGACTCAAAATACTCCTAATAATTAACCATAAAAAATAAATAAAAATAATTCGATCCAATAAAAATGAAAATAAAAAACATATTATCAAATTATTATAATTTTATAAGTTAGCTGGAAATCCCCTAATAGTTAAGCCAAAAAAAAATTAAATTAATTGGCTTCTGAATTCGGATCAGTAACCGGGTCAGCGTTAAGATCCAAACCCGCATTATCTTCCACGCTTTCTCTCTCTTTAACGCCGTCAACAGCCCGTTTAAAATCCTCCTGCCGGAAATTCGGACTCCACGGCTTCGCCGCCGTCAGATTTCTCCCGGCGCCACCGCTCTCGGCGTTTCCCTTCTCGAAATACTTCACCGCCACACGTATTCTCCGCAGTATAGCGTAGAACTCCTCAACTTCTTCGTCCTCCACCGCCGCCGTCACCGATGCCGCCGTTCCATCGTTTTTCTCCGTTTTAATTTGCTTTTTTGCTTCGATCTCTCCGTCGTGTATATATTTCCGTTTATGTACCTCCATAATTTTGAGCTGAATTTTGAATTTTCCGGCGAAGGGTAGAAAAATTGAGTTGATAATATTTGTAATTTGTGAATAGGGATTTGGAAGAATTGATTTCTGGCGTGTGGTAATATGTGTAATTTTATAGTGAATTTCGTGGAAAGTCATAAACTATGTAAAACGTATTGATGATGTATTAAAGGAGTCGTAAGCAAAAATATCTCATGCCAAATGTCAAACAAATGTGGGTTCACGTGGAATAGGGACATTTAAATTTTACAAGGTCGTTTGGTACACAAGATGATATAAGTAAAGATATATCAACAGATTATTTTATATCACTTTCTGTATAAGATAATAATCATTTGAAAGATGGTGGGATGAAATAATCTTGAAATTAGCTGGTACTTCAAACTACAACAAGCCTCGGTCATTGGGTAATCCCACAAATTGAATCTAGAAAGCTCGATAGATCATTGCTCGAATCCTACTTATTTATTACTAAATGTTTATAAATATTTGATGGTGAAGATAGCTATTAACTATTGTATATTATCTTGAGATTGTTTTTTAAAAATATATATATATATATATTGAATTTGTTTCTAAGCTTATTTGATAAAACAATATGAATTTGTTTCTTTTAAAAGATAAAAAGGATCTAGTATTTGGTAATGTGATCTGTATGTTAATATTCTTCAAATCTGAATTATTGATTTGGTCTAAAGATAGCATAATAAACAATAATTTTCGGAAATAAATATAAAATCATAATCAATCTCATTAATAATTTCTGACAAGCTATTAATTTATGGAAAAAAAATATTAGAGATGACATCAGTCTTTGTCGTCATCGTTGGTGGAGTATATGTTTATACTTTTTCTAAAAAATAAAATAAAATGACGTGTCATAATTTCATGTAATGCATTTTGTGTGTGCCACGTGTATACAGGACGAATTTATTGTTATAACTTATGATTTGACAGAAACTAATAACTTTGATCCGTAATAATAATTTATGATCGGAATATATAAACTTAAACCTTGAATTTATCGCAAGATTGGAGCATTTTGATAGTAAGTTTCCCGACTCAGTAACTTTAACACATATTTATTCAATAACTTGCTCTCTTTTTTTTAATTTAATATTCATAAACTTAACTAATGTGCCCATGAGATAAACACACGTTGCGGTGAATCATAATTCACAAGGTGGTTAAAACATTATTTTGACTAGGTTACCCATAGAGTGGTGTGGGCGTTAAGATCTTTTAATATTGTTTCCATATTAGTTTAGACTTGAATTGGTAATATGCCAAATAATTAGTTGGTAAGGTATCACTTCATGAAAAAAAATATTAGGTCTAAAAGGTTAAAAAATATTTTCTTTATCCCTAATTACTTGTCTAAATTTTCTTTTTTAATTGTCCCTAATTACTTGTCTATTTTGACAAATCAAGAAAGGACAATTCTTTTTTGTCTGTTATATTCTCAATTAATTACTTTGAAATATGTAGAACTTTTTGAAAATTTTAAGTTTTTAATTCATCCACTTCATAATTAATAGAGATAAAATGATAAACTCACTATGTTAATTATTGTTTTTTTAATAAATGTGTCAATTTAAAAATAAACAAGTAATTAGGAACATAAGGAATATATGGGCAAGCATTAAATCGAGTTTAATATGGTCCGATAGATAGGGTACATAATTTTCTTATGAGTTATATTTGCAAAACTTTTTTAAAATAAGGATAAAACGCCTAAAAAGACATTTGCATAAATCAGCTAATATTAAAGGGTCCGTTTTTGTTTGCTGTTTTGTCTGCCAAATATTACTTTTTACATTTCTTATTACCTAGATTATTTCACCAATTATATATGCTTAATTTTGTATTCACAGTGTAGTGGGAGGAATAAAATCCATCTATTTCTATAATAAAAGATTTTGAGTTCAAGCTCTAAAACGAATTTTTTTTTAATAATAAGCATTTCTCTTTTTGACGGATCATATAATAAAAGTCATTGTGAGTATAATATTGAAAGTCTATTTAGTTAATATTAAAATAAGTAGACTTTGTTAGTTCCATAATTGTTTAAAAGACTCTACAATATAATACTATCGTTGGTGTTTCTTTAAGGTTCTTCTTAATTTATTCTCCATATTTGTTTTTAATACGTTACTTTCTTGACTTGGTTCTTCTTTTAAGGTTATATAGTTTATTCTGGTTATTATTAAATTACCACTTGCATAATATTAATTGAGTGAAGGGGTTACATGAAACAACCTCTTTATCTGAATATTATAGGTAGAGATGTACAAAATCGAACAGAAAATCTGAATTATTGATTTGGTCTAAAGATAACATAATAAACAATAATTTTCGGAAATAAATATAAAATCATAATCAATCTCATTAATAATTTCTGACAAGCTATTAATTTATGAAAAAAATAAAATATTAGAGATGACATCAGTCTTTCTCGTCATCGTTGGTGGCGTATATGTTTATACTTTTTCTAAAAAATAAAATAAAATGACGTGTCATAATTTCATGTAATGCATTTTGTGTGTGCCACGTGTATACAGGACGAATTTATTGTTATAACTTATGATTTACAGAAACTAATAACTTTGATCCGTAATAATAATTTATGATCGGAATATATAAACTTAAACCTTGAATTTATCGCAAGATTGGAGCATTTTGATAGTAAGTTTCACGACTCAGTAACTTTAACACATATTTATTCAATAACTTGCTCTCTTTTTTTAAATTTAATATTCATAAACTTAACTAATGTGCCCATGAGATAAACACACGTTGCGGTGAATCATAATTCACAAGGTGGTTAAAACATTATTTTGACTAGGTTACCCATAGAGTGGTGTGGGCGTTAAGATCTTTTAATATTGTTTCCATATTAGTTTAGACTTGAATTGGTAATATGCCAAATAATTAGTTGGTAAGGTATCACTTCATGAAAAAAAATATTAGGTCTAATAGGTTAAAAAATATTTTCTTTATCCCTAATTACTTGTCTAAATTTTCGTTTTTAGTTGTCCCTAATTACTTGTCCATTTTGACAAATCAAGAAAGGACAATTCTTTTTTGTCTATTATACCCTCAATTAATTACTTTGAAATATGTAGAACTTTTTGAAAATTTTAAGTTTTTAATTCATCCACTTCATAATTAATAGGGATAAAATGATAAACGCACTATGTTAATTATTATTTTTTTAATAAATGTGTCAATTTAAAAGTAAACAAGTAATTAGGAACATAAGGAATATATGAGCAAGCATTAAATCGAGTTTAATATGGTCCGATAGATAGGGTACATAATTTTCTTGTGAGTTATATCTGCAAAACTTTTTTAAAATAAGGATAAAACGCCTAAAAAGACATTTGCATAAATCAGCTAATATTAAAGGGTCCGTTTTTGTTTGCTGTATTGTGTGCCAAATATTACTTTTTACATTTCTTATTACCTATATTATTTCACCAATTATATATGCTTAATTTTGTATTCACAGTGTAGTGGGAGGAATAAAATCCGTCTATTTCTATAATAAAAGATTTTGAGTTCAAGCTTTAAAACGAAGAAATTTTTAATAATAAACATTTCTCTTTTTGACGCATCATATAATTAAAGTCATTGTGAGTATAATATTGAAAGTCTATTTAGTTAATATTAAAATAAGTAGACTTTGTTAGTTCCATAATTGTTTAAAAGACTCTACAATATAATACTATCGTTGGTCCTTCTTTAAGGTTCTTCTTAATTTATTCTCCATATTTGTTTTTAAAACGTTACTTTCTTGACTTGGTTCTTCTTTTAAGGTTATATAGTTTATTCTGGTTATTATTAAATTACCACTTGCATAATATTAATTGAGTGAAGGGGTTACATGAAACAACCTCTTTATCTTAATATGATAGGTAGAGGTGTACAAAATCGAACCGAAAACCGAATCAAATCGTAAATTGAGTCAAATCGAGAAAAAAACCTAACTAGTGGTTGGTTTGACTTGGTTTGGTATTGAAAAAAAAAAAACCCGACTATATTTGGGTTGGTTTGGTTTTAACTTTAAAAAGTCAACCCGAGACCAAACCAACCCGACATTATATATATAATTTTAAAATTTTATTTTATACATAAAAATATTTACTTTGATATAATTTTTGAATATTTCTTATACTTTTTCATAGTTTTTATCTTTTAATATATTATTTCAAGTTTGAAACTTAGAATTTTGAATGGTTCAATAAAGATTATAGTTCACATATGTTGGTAATTATAATAAAGCTTAAATTAAAATCAAATTAATACTAATGCAAAAAGAAAATCAATTCAACACTAATAATGACAATTATATTGAATATTTGTTCTTTGGTTTTACATTGGTTTAGGCAATTCAAATACATAATCTAATTTTAATTTCCTTTAATATTTAGTCATGTAACTAATACTTATTAAACTTATTTTAGCATGATTTAGTACTTTTAAATTATGATCATTTTCATTATGACTTGTTAATTTGCAATATTTGTTTTACGCGATTTCATTATTATTATTTTTTTGTTGGATATTTTAGTGTCATTACTCATATCATATTTTGTGTTATTTTCTTAAGAAATACCTTAGATAGTTGTATTTTGGTAGGACTAAAGAAATATTTGAAATACAAGTAAATTATATGTTTGTATGAATACTTTACCGAAAAAACCCGAAAATTCGAAAAACCCGAATAAATCCGAAAAAACCCGAGGTTGAAAAACCCGAGTTTTATTGGTTTGGTTTGGTTTATATATTTAAAAATCCGACACAAATGATTTGGTTTAATATTTGAAAAACCCGAATCAACCTGGTCATGTACATCCCTAATGATAGGGGTAATATATGTGTGAAGGCACCGTCCTCCACAAATTAAATTAAATTAATCATATACAATTTTAATTTAACTTATATATATATATATAATAAGTGGAAATATCTACTACTTAGCACATGACAAGTGTTGGATGATATGTGCTTAG